CTGTGATACACGGTGATTGCCGGCTGCCGGCGGGGAATCACCGGCCGAGACCTGGTGATCGACAGGTGGCACGGGTAGGGCGCACGGCTCATGCGCGCCCCCTACCAGTAAATGCAAAATCACATATACCACCCCTGCTGCACTGTAGCAGTATTTCTGCTATGGGGAGGAGGGGAAGCAGTTAAAGTCCATGAAAATAAGTGAATGTCCATCAAAGTGAAGAAAAAAGGGAGGGGCCACTTTTTCAACAAGAATGAAGATATAGGCTCCACGTGATGTCACCACACAATGTCACCACGCTGAGATCAGTTGAGTTTTTGCTGCAATTCCATGATGGCTTAATTTCTTCCTGATGCATATATATTGTAAGTGCAATTCTTTAATTACAACAAACGTACTTTTATAACAAACTACACTATTTGCCTTCATATTTTACAGGACGCCGTTTGGTGGAGAATGGAATGTTTCTGAGGAACCAGAGGATTTGAATGCTGCTATGCTGTGGGATCGAACCTGTAGGCATTTTTGGCTTTTTATTAAGTTGAAGGCCCAGCTTCTCCGGTAAGGGTTTATACTCACCTGTGGTTACCAGAAGCACTTTGGAGTGTTACCGTATCTTCATACTTTTTGGAAGAGTGAGTCGTCACTTTTACTTCGCTTTGATGGACATTTACCTATTTTCACAGACTTTAATGTGGACGTTTATTTGATCATGATGGATTGTCACTATTTTTTATGTTTGTTTTATTGTGCTGAACTTTTTTAGACCATTAAGGAGAAGCGCCATGGCAGAAGTCCATAATCAGCCCCCTGTATGTATTGCCCCATATGGAAGAAAAATATATTTGAAATATATTTTTTAAATATTCTTCCCAAATATATTGACATGTTTGAAATGCTACAATTTTGGCCGTATTCAATATATTTCAAAAATATATTTCAATATATGTATACTGTATGTTGAAATGTGCTTTATAAATACCTTTTCAAATATGTCTTTGAAAATACACAAATGATAGGGTCCAATGACATCAATGAAGGGACACAATTCCTCCCAGTGACACAAATGATAGGGTCCAATAACATCAATGATGGGGCACAATTCCTCCCAGTGACACAAATGATAGGGTCCAATGACATCAATGAAGGGACACAATTCCTCCCAGTGACACAAATGATAGGGTCCAATGACATCAACGATGGGGCACAATTTCTCCCAGTGGCACAAATGATAGGGTCCAATGACATCAACGATGAGGCACAATTCCTCCCAGTGACACAAATGATAGGGTCCAATGACATCAACGAAGGGGCACAATTCCTCCCAGTGACACAAATGATAGGGTCCAATGACATCAATGATGGGGCACAATTCCTCCCACTGAAACCAAACAATGGTACATGATTTTTTTTCCAATGACGTCAGGACCTTTTCTACTGCTGCTAGCCACAGTCCGTCCCTTGTAAAGTCTGAAGGACCATAAGCTGGCCCATTGTTTAGAAAGTTTGGAGACCCCTTATCTAGCACATACTGTAAAACATTTCCTTTTATTGTTTCAACTCTTGTAAAGTAGGATTGGACTTTTTGTCATATGGAAAAGCACATTTAAGCATTTGTTTGAACCCTCTATCTATTCACATTTTTGAACAAAGTTAGCTGACACAATGATAGCAAGATCAGATCTTCTAGCAAATTAATTTTCAGAATTTCTATATGAATTAAATTCTACTGGCAATTATGGCCAGCTATGGCTGCTGAGAAAGACGAGACGATGAGAAAAAAAAAAACATCTGAATGCTCCTGCTGGCTATTCAATAAAGGATTCAAGTTTGTGGCATCCCGATGTGCAGTATTCCTTTAACATGTAGACATGGAATAGTAGTCCACGTGGCCTAAGAATATCCATTGTTGGTCCCGGTGAAATACAGTTTTCGTGTTGTTTTATTTACCAATAACTGTGTCTTCTTCCAGGAGAGATGCCAATGAAGAAGAAAATGAAGAATACGCAGGGGAAGCCAATGTGAAAGTCGCACAAAAAACCCACATACAGTAGGTGGGCTTAGCCCATTACGTAACCCAGCAACTTGAATTGGAAGTCATCTGATGCGGAATATCATTTAGCTAAATGCTAAATGTCTTTAAAAAAAAAAAGGCAACATAAGTAATCCACCACTCTTCATTTACTTAAGCAATATGTAAAACCATTAATGGTCAGCTTCTGTATCAAATACCCTTCGATATGAAGGAATTCAAGCTAAATGAAGAATGGAGGGGAAGCTAATGTGAAAGCCGTAAAAAAAAACATGTAGGTGGGCTCAGCCTATTACGTAACCCATAAGTGATCCAGTAGCGCATAAATATATAGGTGAAAAAATATGAGTAAAAGAAAAATAAAAAAATAAATAAAAATAGGTGTATAGCCCCAGGAAAAGTCCAAAGAACTATCCTTATCCACCAAACGATTCTTCAAAGTAATCACTACATGAGAACAGAAAATGGTGTTCCCCCATTACGTAACCCAGCACCTTGAATTGGAAGTCATCTGATGCGGAACATCATTTAGCAAATGCTAAATGTCTTTAAAATAAAAATAAAAAGGCAATATAAGTAATCCTGCGCTCTTCATTTACTTAAGCAATGTGTGAAACCATGAATGGTCATCGTCTGTATTAAATAACCTTCAATATAAAAGAATTAAAGCTAAATGAACCCTAAATACAGCACTGATGCCAATCCCATCAACGTGTGCAATGCCAAGGTTGAAATCAACACAACACACTTCATCTTATAAAGCAAAAAACAACCCCCCCCCCCCCCCCCCCCCCCCCGCAGTGTCAGAGTGTAGAAAGTTAAAAACCAACGCATAACAAACCCCACTGTCAGGAATGGACTCGCCAATAGTGGTGAGACTCACCTGCCTTGTGGGTTGCAGTACCAGGACTGGCCAGCGGGTGCTCTCAGCAACCAGAGGCTCACTCCTGCCCGTCTGACTACGCTCTGCCTGCTCCTTTGTACCTTGCCTGCCCATTTGCTACCGACCCGGCCTGCTCGACTACGCTTAGTATTGTTCTTTTGTTATCTGTTGGGGGTTTTGGTTTGGTTTGTTTGCACTGTGTTTATGTTTAGTCTTGCACTGCGTTTATGTATTGTTTAGTCTTAAAGAAATTATATTGTTTATACTATATCCGATGCCTGCGTTTCCCTGAGTCAGTCCACACACCCTCTGGTCATAGCCGGAGCCCTGACACCCACCCACTTCACCTAATTTTACCAAAGGAGATAAATCGGGGACTTTTAGTCTGTGAATAATCTGAGGGGTAATTCTCTTTCCGATAGATACATGATAAGTAATGGTGTAGGCAGGACTTGGCCATAGCTGCAGATGTTTAACCACTTTCCATCAGCCCTATAGCAGTTTTACTGCTACAGGGTGGCATTCCTGTGCAAAATCACGTAAATAAATGTAATTCTGAACTTCCTCCACACAGGGGCACGGGTGTGCCACCGGAGGAGATCTTCAGCTGTGAACTGTCAAAGCACAAAACGATTTGCAATCCCCTAGTGAGCAAATGCTCGTCGACACCTGCAGATCGTCATTTTGAACTTCCTCCACACAAGGGCGCAGGCATGCTACTGGAGGAGATCTTCCCCCTGAGGAAGCCACGTGACCCTGTGGCGTAACGCGTAGGGGAGGGGCTCTGACGTCACGACGCCATTACCAGAGGAACGGCGAGTACTGTCTTTGTGCGCGGGCACACAATTTTAAAAAAACGCTCTGTATTGATCTGTGGAAATGTGAGTTTGAATTTGTCAGGAGACACATTAAAACCTTTTTAAAGGATATAAGCACCATGTGGGGATTTTTCTTCTTTTTCATGGCCTAAATCGGAGGAGCAAAAGGGGAGGAAGAGGAAATAGGAGATAGACCCCATACTACAGGAGGGGAAATACCTATATCTATCCATCCAGCCCTCATAACTCGGAAGGAACTGGGAGGCCATCTAGTGGAAGGAAAGCAACATCACAGTCTACTGTAACAGCAATAGACTTTCTATATATCTGCATAGATTGGGACGTTTATATCTCAGCTAAAATAAGGATTAGGAGTATACAGTCCTAATCACCGTTTCAGGTTGCACAAGTGGAGTGATTACAATACATTACTTGCACAGTTTTTTATTATTATTTATTTTTTCATATTTAATTGAGTATTGCACTTTATTATATATAAATTTTGTATTACTGTTTTGGGCAATATTTGCATTTTTTGCACATGCACAATTTTTGCACATATTTATTATTGATCAAAGAGGTTTTTCTTTGCTCATTTGATTTGTGGCACATTATATTATATTTTTTCACATTATTATACACATATTTTTTATTTATAATTCAATTAATTATAGCACTGGGAATGTTTTAATTTAATTCACATTATATCATTATGAGATTATATTTATTTATTTATTTATTTATATTTTATTTAATTTATTTTAATTATATATCATAATATATTATATTATATATCACCCAACAATATTTTGAGGAGCGCGACACATATAATATTTCATTTGGAGGAGATCTTCAGCTGTGAACGGTCACAGCACAAAACGTTTTGCAAGCCCCCGGTGAGCAGTTGTTCGTCGGCACCTGCAGATCATCAGTCAAGAAGCAAGAACAGAGCTATGGTATGAATAAAACAACATGCAGCGTTTGAAATAAACATTAGTGATCATATGAAAAATAATTTGAATGCGTAGACATAAAAAATGTATAAACACAACGTCTCTTTAACCACCTCCTGCCCTCCATATAGTAATATGACGGGCACAAGGTGGTTCTCTCGTTCTTGGAGGACGTCATATGACGTCCTCCCATTCTCACTGCGCATGCACGGCTCAGGGAGCGCGCAGCGCGGCGATCGACTGTGCGCTGTGTCCCTCGGACACAGCGGATCACCGATCACGGAAAGAGCCGAAGATGTCGGCTCCGTCATGTGATCAGCTGTGTCCAATCACAGCTGATCACATGTAAACAGGGAAATGCCGGTTATCGGCATTTCTCTCCTCTCGAGCTGTCATGCTGACAGCTCGAGAGGAGAGCCGGTAATCGGCTTTCCGCGGAGGGTACATGTACACTGATCATCAGGGCACTGATGGTCAGTGTGACCCCAGCAGTGCCACCTGTCAGTGTCCATCAGTGCCTTATGTCAGTGCCTCGTGCCAGTGCCCATCAGTGCCACATCAATGCCACATATCAGTGCCATCTGAGCTGCCTTTCAGTGTCATCCATCAATACCAATCAGTGCCACCTATCAGTGCTGCCAGTCAGTGCCGCCTAACAGTGCCAGTCAGTGCTGCCTAACAGTGCCAGTAAGTGCCGCCTAACAGTGCTGCCTATCAGTGCCATATATCAGTGCTGCCTTTCAGTGCCCATCAGTAATGCCTGTCAATGCCCATCAGTGCCACCTACCAGTGCCTCCTCAGCAGTGCCCATCAGTGCCACCTATCAGTGCCCATCAGTGCAGCCTATCAGTACCCATCAGTGCAGCCTCATTAGCACACATCAGTGAAGGAGAAAAATCATTTATTTTACAAAATTTTATATAACAAAAACTAAAAAAAAACATTTGTTTTTCAAAATTTTCAGTGGTTTTTGGTTTGTTTAAGAAAAAACAAAAAACCCAGAGCTGATTAAATACCACCAAAATAAAGCTCTATCTGTCACAAAAAAATGATAAAAATTTCATATGGGTCCAGTGTTGTTTGACCGCGCAATTGTCATTCAAAGTGCGACAGCGCTGAAAGCTGGAAATTGGCCTGGGCAGGAAGGGGGTATAAGTGCCCTGTAGGCTAGGGGTTAAATAGATGAATATTCAGTTAGTTAGCTCGAATAAATAAATGGTTATCCAGTATTCTAGGATTAATGGAAGTGTGCGACATGAAATAGTCTATCCAAAGTAAAAGTTGGTAGTAGTGGCATTAGTGGTGAGATAAGGTAAAGGTGTGGATTGCACTAACCAGATAGCGCATTTAAAGCGCATTTAAAGCGCATATGAGTGATGAAAATAAACTCCTGGTCATCAACAAGTGGGCATCTGGAATTCGGATCGTCTATTGGGCAGCAGCAAGAATTACAGCACACCGACCAAGCTTACAGGTATCAGAAGTGCAATCCAGGTCCACCAGAGGGAGCCAACCCTTCAGATGTCATCAAATGGTCTCACTTGATATGAGTGCTAACATTAATGGCCCCTGGCCATAGAAGAAACCATGTGGTAAGGTCACTGAGGGTAGCTTCCTGACATGTTTCGTGCTAATGCGCGTTTTCAAAGGAAGCTAGCCTCCCTCAGTGACAGCTCTTATATACTGTGGATGGCACATGCGCATAGTGGACCTGTGACGTCAGCTCTGTCCGATCGCGCATGCGCAGATCGTATGAGCAACGGCCATTTTCTAGAAGCCCAGTAAAAAATTTCTAACTCCTCCCTGTAAAAATTGTGCCGTTGAACGGTGTATTAGCCTAGTTATTATATACATAAAAGCAGAAATCGTGTGCAAAAAGTCTAATGATGGGTAATGATGTTCAGTGGCACAGTAATGATTATGTGGCAAGACCCATGTGTGGGTGGTAGAATTACTTGATGTAGGTTATAGAACTACAGGTGTCAGAAGCACCAGAACTCTATGGCATGTGCAAACCAGCTATAAATAACAAATTGGCAGTACAAGAAAATACAATTCAGTGGGTGGCATCACAGTTAATAAAATGATAAACATATAAAATTCTACATAAATAATATATGAATATAAATATCTAAATTAATCATAAAAGGGAATATTCATAAAAGGAGAATCATCCATTCAAAAGAGTATATGATTCTATTAATATCTGATGGAAAATAAATATATTGTAAAATCAATATTCAGAAAAAATTCAAAAACAGAGCAATGATTTGTGTTATTATAATATTGAAGTGACATATACACACAGAAATTATAGTGATGCAAAGCATAAAGAGACCAGTGTATTGTCACAATATATACGGTCAAATAAACCAGGTTATCGTGAATATTAATATTATATGGTATAGAAATGTATAATACTTTATTATTAATAAAAAAAAGAGGGGGGGGGGGGGGGGAAGAAAATCAGGAAAAAATCCATTTTAGTGTTAATTGGGTATATGGCAGCTCAAAAAGGAATATGTAATAATAGAGCTATTATCATATATTAAATTTGCATAATAATAATTCTAGACATTAAAATCTATGGTAAAAAACCATAATTATAATAATTTGATTGTACAATTAGGAACAGGGAGATTAACTGGTGTCAATGTAACAGTTGATGTCCAGGTCGATATTAAGGCCAAGTGGTGCCAAAGTACGTAATAGGTAAATCCACTTGGTTTCAAGCTTCGAAACTGACCGACGCTGAAAGATACCTCTCCAGTGATTGGTTATTATATCTATCCCAGTGAATCTAAGACAGTGTGGGTTTTTGTTATGGGAAACCCGAAAGTGCATAGAAACTGAGTGTTCCTTATATCCTTTTTTGATGTTAGTTAGGTGTTCTCTAAGCCTGTCTCTTAATCGTCTGGTAGTTCTACCGATATATTGTTTCCCGCAAGCGCTTTCAAGTAAATAAACAACATGAGTGCTATAACAAGGTATTGCTGTTTGTATATCGTCCGTCTTTCCAGTGACATTAGAGCGGAAACTCCTAATAAGCTTTTTGTGAATCCCATTGTGAACACAAAGCATACAGCGGTTGCAGGGATACCTTTCTGATTAAAATTAAAAGAGAGTTGTCTCAGTGGATTATCGATATTCTGTGCTAGAGTACTCCTCAAAGGGAGGGCTTTTCTAAATGTGATTTCTGGGTAATTGGGTAATGCTTCGCCTAGTATAGGATCACTTTTAAGAATGGACCAGTTCTTCTTAATAGTTCTAGATACTCTTTTATAATGGATTGAAAAATTAGTGATGAAAGGGCAAAATCTTTCACTCTTTAGACTACCCCTAGGGGCAAGGTGATTATCTCTATTTAAATTACCCTCCTCATGAATCTCTTTATCTAGGGTGCTGATATTATAGCCTTTTCTCCACAAACTGTTGTTTAAGAGTATTCGCTTGGGTGATGTAATCCTCTATTCTATCACAATTTCTACGAATACGTAGAAATTGTCCTTTAGCGATTCCATTTAGCCACCTGGGATGATGGCAACTGTCTTTTGGAATGAAAACTGTTCCTATCTGTAACTTTAAAAAAACTTTTTGTTAAAATTCTGGTTCCTTCATTAAAAAGTGTTAAATCTAAAAAGTTTATTTCATTGTAACTGTGTTCGGAAGTCAATTTGATATTAAGATTGTTATGATTCAGAGTGGTAAAAAAAGTTAGTCAGGGAAAATTTCCTGCTCTTTTAGGGTAATAACAGGTAAGGTGTGGCAGCTTATTTGTGCCCGCCAGTAGGTAAATTACTTCACTTTCTACCTTCATCCATCAGAAGGCGCCATGCCGTGCAGCACAAGGGTCTCAGCCTTTGGGCTGGGTGTACGTAAATTTATTGTATGTTTCCAGCATTTGTGGTTGTGTTTATTTGCCACATCTAAGTAAAATTCTGTTGTGGCAAAAGCTGGTGTTGGGGTTGCTTTCCTCGTTCGTGACTTCACTGTATCCTGGAGAGCCCACCCCGGTACACGGCTTACAACAGCACAAAACGATTTGCAAGCCCCTGGTGAGCAGTTGCTTGCCTTTGATCACCCTAGATGTTAACACCTTCCCACCATTGTCATTAGAACAGTATCAGTGTCTATGTTTAGTGCTGATCACTGTATTATTGTCACTGGTTCCCATAAAGTGTTAGTGTAATAATGCCCACTGCTATAAGTCGCTGATTGCCGCCATTACCAGTATAGAAAAAAATTTAAAAAATTCCAGCGCATGTACCAGAGTTTGTAGCTGCTGTAACTTTTGTAGAATCAATATACACTTATTGGGATTTTTTTTTTCACCAAAAATATGCAGCAGAATACATTTTGGTCTAGATTTATGAAGAAATTTGATTTTTAAAATTTTTTATTGGACATGTTTTTATAACAAAAATTAAAAAATATTTATGTAGCGCAGGAAATTAATCCTATCTGTGACTGCTGTAACCTGCTGACTGGCATCTCCTCTGAACCCTGACACTTGCACAGTGAGGGATTTCAGCCCCCCCCTTCTCCACTCAGACTGTAATTATAATTTTTTTTGTTTACATTTTTTTTTTTTTACATACTGTCACCCTAGCAGTACAGTATCACCATGGTGACACTGTACTACTTGTGGGGGGTGATGAAGATTTTTTTTTTTTTTTTACACTGATTGCTTTTACACCCATAAAGGATGTAAAAGCAATAATTTCACCTTCTCTCTAGCTGCATTCTTGCAGCCATTGAGAACTACTGAGTGAGCTGTGATTGGTCACAGCTTGTCACATGGTACAAGGCTGTTGTGAATAACCTTGTACCATGTGACCTCTGTGATCATTCACAGATTTCACATGTAGTAAACGATGTCAGAAATTACATCTTGCTTACTACTCTGCATGTGATCACTGATTGGCCAATCCGTGATCACATTATCGGAACCTCACACAGAGGTCCCATCCGACAATCAGTGCTTCACTGTGTCCAGAGGACACAGCGGGCACCGGATCGCATTGCTGCACGTTCCCAGGTAGCGCGCACAAGCAGGGTGCAGGGAGGCCGTTTATAAATGGCCACCCGACTTTGCACTGCCACCGTTCGGCCATTTATATACAAGGGCCAGACGTGAGGTGGTTAAGCAGCCCCTTCGGGGGTATCTCTACATTTAGTTTTTTCCAAAATTGTCAGTCTTTTATTGTTTATAGCACAAAAATTAAAAACCGCACAGGTGATCAAATACCACCAAAAGAAAGCTCTATCTGTGGGGAAAAAAAGGACATAAATGTCATTAGGGTGCAGCGTTGCATGACTGCGCAATTACAGTTAAAGTTACATAGAGCCATATCGCAAAAAATGGCCTGGTCAGGAAGGGGGGTAAATCTTGTGGAGGGCATGTGGTTAATTTAACAAACTGTTATTATTTATTTTTTTGTGTTTTCTGTTGTTTCTTTATTTGTACAATGTTTTTTTTTTTAAGTTCTAAACTATCAGCGGTCATTGATCCCTGAAGAAGCCCCTCTGGACGAAACATGTTGGGAGTGTTATTCTCTGCACTGCTGTAAAAATTAAGGACAACAAGACCATATTGATATAATGAGTGGTTTTATTATGAATTAATTGATTTTGACATTTAACCCTTTCGCTGCCGGAGCCGTTTTTGCATGGTTTTTT